CTTTCGAAGATAAGTATTTACAAAACAGCTCACAGGGGCCCTGCTCGCGTACCATCATCAGCAAAGATACATCGTGGGGCTTTTATTTGCTTTACTTATTTATTTATTTACTTAGTTTACGCTATGTTATCTCTGTTGGCCTTGAAGAGTAAATAAGATTTTATGCTGTGAGCTCCGTGGTCGCACACGAAGTACAGGCCCAGCTCGACAGATTGCTGGGTTTTGCGGTTTGTTCTTAACTGCTCTGTGGACAGCGCTCATAGTGATTTTTAAGTACCTAATGTTATTAGTTACAAAACATTGTTTTTAAAATGGCTACAATATCCAAATAATATGTGACAAAGGACTTTGTATCCAGAATACATAAAAGATTCTTATAGTTCAGTAAGAAAAATACTAACAACCTAATTTTTAAAATGGGCAAAGGACTTTGAATATTCACCACATCAGCTATGTGAGTGGTCAATAAGCACACGGAAAGATACTTAACCGTAGTCCTCAGGGAGATGCAGACCACAGTGCACACGCTCCACACCCACTAAAATTAAAAAGACTGCCAGCACCAAATGTGGAAGGAAGTGGAGAAAGTGGATCTCATCCACTGCTCATAGGAACGTAAAATGGCACAGCCACTTTGGAAAAGTTTGGCAGTTTCTTTAAAAGTTAAACATATACCAAGTCATTCCACATCCCAAGCATTTATCCAAGAGAAACAAAAAAACCCTATGTCCGTACAACGCCTTGTACAAGAACATTCATAGGAGGTTTATTCACAATAGCTAAAAACTAGAAATAACGCAAATGGCCATTGACAGGTAAATGGACAAATATCTTTACTCATAGGTAAAAAGAAAGGTGATACACAGAACGTGGATGAATCTCAATTATGATGACTGAAAGAAGCCAGACACAAAATAGTACACAATGTATGAGCCCATTTATATAAAATGCAAATAAATCTATGATGACCAAAACCAGATGATTGGTTGCCCAGGGGTGGAGTGAAGGGACGGATGCACTGCAAAGACAGGAGTCTTTTGGAGATGATAGAAATGTTGTATGTTAATTCTGGTGGTAGTTTCATAAGCATATATAACTGCCAAAAGTCAATGAATTGTTCTCTTTAAATAGAGATCGTTTATTGTATATAAATTATTTCCAAATAAAGTTGACAAGAAAAAAATGACTGTACAATATTTTGTGTTTATTGGTTTCCACAATATTATAATTTTCCGAAAACTTTATACCATGCATTTGTTGGTAATATTGAGATGTTCTCTTCAGCCAAGTATTCTCCAGGACTAAAAATTAACCACTATCCTTGCTTTGTGTGTGTGTGTGTGTGAGGAAGATTAGCCCTGAGCTAACATCTGAAGCCAATCCCCCTCTTTTTGCTGAGGAAGATTGGCCCTAGGCTAACATCCGTGTCCATCTTCCTCTACTTTATATGGGACGCCACCGCAGCATGGCTTGAAAAGCGGTGTGTCGGTGCGGCTGGGGATCTGAACCCATGAACCCCGGGCCGCCGAAATGGAGCACATGAACTTAACCACTACACCCCCAGGACAGGCCCCTTTGCTATTAATTATTCAACGGTATATTCTGGTTGTCTGAAAGTCAGAAAACATAGGATAAACGTATTTCTAAACAGCATGATACATTTTCAAATAATATGCTTGTTTTCTTTCAAGCTCCAAACATCTTTTCAGGTGAAATACCTCTAAATTTAAAGCACCAGGTCCAATTGTTAATCTCAGAAAAACACAGTAAATATACTACAGAATGTGTAAAAAATCTGGAAACACAAGAGGGACAAGGGTATTTATTTGTATACAAAACTATTGGCAATCATGATTACAGAGTGCATATTGTGAGTTAGGCCCCGTTCTCAGCATATTGACGTATATTTACCTCATTTAATCCTCAAAAATTTATAAAAAAGATATATTATCTCTGACCTTCAAATGAGATTAATTTGCCCAAGGGACACAGCCCAAGTGGCAGAGATGGCATTGGAATCCAAGCTTTCTGGTTGCAACACTTGCACTCTTAGCCACTGTGCTGTGTTAGCTATTTCTTATAAGTTAGGAGAAGTCCAATAATTATTTAAAAGGAGCTTCAAGTCCTGCCTTTACCTCTTACAAGCACTTTGACATCGGGCAACTTCCTTCACCTCTAGGGCTCAATTTCCTCACTGCAAAGATGGAGGGCACTTAAACTTGTCTCTTAGGGCGACTGTGAGATTTAAATGAGATCACAGAGATACTGCCACTGAGCACAGTGCCTGCCACAGTAATGTACCCTCAATACAGGGTAGCAATTATTATTACGGTGCCTCCATACCACACACACTGTGAGAGGGCAGCACAGCACAGGCCTTGGAGAAAGACGTCCTATGTTCCCATTCCAGCGCCACCACTCAGCTGTGTGACCTTGAGAAAGTACTTACCATCTTGTACCTCAGTTTCCTCATCTGCAAGATGATGATAATAGTACCGACCTCATAAAGGTGTCATGAAGTCATGTAAAGTGGCTAAAACAGTACCTGGCACTTAGTAGACAGAATTAAATGCTGCTAACCCAAACGACTTCACTGTACAGTGTGGGAATGATTATATCATAACTCTGCATTTAATCATCAATCTAGTTTTTCTCCTAAGCTGCATTTTGGAGAACTGTAAATTTCATTAAAGTTTGACAAGTGATTAGCAGATTGCTGAGGAATATTGGAGAAGTCATATGTTATCAAAAAACTTGAGTCTAAACAAGAAGTAATCTGAGTTTGGACTGTTAAAGTAAATATAAATGTAGTACATCACAGTAAAATACAGAGAGTTCACCCTTCTGCAATGCTGTAGATCAGTGATTCCCAAACCTGAGCATGCCTCAGAATCTCCTGAAGGCCTTATTACAACAGATACCAGAGTTTCTGATCAATAGGTCTGGGGTGGGGCCCCAGAATTGTCATTTCTAATAAGTACCCCAGGTGATGTTGATGCTGCTGGTCGGGGTCATACTCTGAGACCCACTGATGCAGAAGGTTCTGGAAGGTGATGAAGAGGCCCCAAGGTAGTTTGTTAATTAAAACCAAACACGCACCAATTTATGATCTGGGCGGCGATAAATATCTTTATGTTTCCCAAGCTTGGTTGCACAGTGGAATCATCTGAGGAGATTTTTAAAAATACTGATATTCAGGTCCTGTCCCCAGAGATTGTAATTTAATCCGTCCGGGGTGAGCCTTGGGCACTGGGAATTTTCGAACATCCCCAGATGACTCTGATGGCAGGCAAGGCTGAGAGGCACTGCTTCAGAAGGCCTAAGAAAGAAAGGCTCTTTTCTCTACATCTATTATTCCTAGAGTTTTTTCAACCTACTTTTGCATTTTATCAGCAAAAACAGACATTTAACAGGATGGATACTTATATGTCAGTCCCACAGTTTGCCAGTGAGCTAGTGGTAAAAGCTTTTTGCCTTCGTTCTCAACTCGGGCTGCATATTAAATCACCTTGAGTAGCTTTTTAAGATACCATGCTAAGGGCTTCACCCCCCAGGTAGTGTGCTTGGTATTTTTTAAATGCTCCCAAAATTGAGAATTCATGGCTTTTGAGGTTTAAAAAAATATAGTGGGGAAAAAATAAAGACCCAACCAGTTGGAGACCATTAAGGAAAATTCGTGTCAAAAGAATGCTTTTACAAACCAAGCAGATAACTTGACATTTCAATAACATAAGGAATAACATTAAAATGGTTGTATATCCCAGACAGGGATAGTATTTATTAAATACCAGTTTTCAAAAAGTGCAATATAGATGGAAGAATCTGCAATAATGCAAATAAATACAGATGGCTTCACATAGATAAAATCAGTGATACCAGAAGAAGATAATTTTATTTTTGCCACCACAACATGAAGAAGCTCAAATGAAACCTGCATGGGACACCTCCTAAAACAGTGATTTACAGCCGCAGAAGGAGAGAGGGTGTTGTCTGAGACAGTTCCCCAAGTAGTTTTAATGTGCGTCCCCCCACCCCACTCCCACCTCACTTAGGTTGAGAATTCCTATCATACAGCCAAGGGACAGAGATAATTCAGAAAGCAAGCTGAAAATAGAAACCAATGTTTCAGAGCCAAACAAGTGCCTTGAAGAAAAACCTACCCCAAAAGCCAATTCAGGGCTGGGAAAACTGATCGCAACTTTTGTATTCAATTCTGTTGCAAACGCTAAATATGCCAATAAATCAATTTTATTGCATTTAGACAGGTGAGCTCTACAACCATTATTTATTTGATGTACGTTACCATTATTGATGACATTTTCACATTTAAAGACCACATAAGAATTTTATAATAGATACAACCACTTTTACCTATTTAAACAAATATAAACAAATATTCCCACACCTACTTTTTAAAGCTGTACATTCCACTTGATGGAAAAAGTGACGGCTACAGTGACTTCTCCCCCCAAAAAAAACCAAAAGGGGATGTTAAATTTTTCTGAAAGCCAGACTTTAATCACACAGAGACATTTTATTGTAAGTTATATGCAAAGTAACTTAGTTCTTCAGAAAAAAATAAAATAAAAATGAAACAGATCAACATTTACGATATACTACACCAAAAAAAAAAAATCTGAATAAAGATGATACAGGTAAAAATGTATTACTTAAAAAATCCTAAAATACCTATGAAATTATTAGACTATAAAAGTTTAGGGCCGGCCCCGTGGCTTAGCGGTTAAGTGCACGCGCTCCACGGCTGGCAGCCCGGGTTCGGATCCCGGGCGCGCACCGCTTCTCCGGCCATGCTGGGGCCGCGTCCCACATACAGCAACTGGAAGGATGTGCAGCTATGACATACAACTATCTACTGGGGCTTTGGGGGGAAAATAAATAAATAAAATCTTTAAAAGTTTAATTTCTCTACAGTCAAAATTTTATTCACAGGAGTTTGTAGGTTGGTTGGTTGTTGGAATTGATTTCAAAAGGTAAAAATAAAAATAATTGCTTTATTTCTTTTTTCCATTAGTACTAAGTCACAAGATCTTTGTAGGTTTTATCTAAAAGAAGGACATAAAAACTTGAAAGCAGGAGCAGGGAAAAGGGACTAGAAGCTCAAGAATATATTACTGAGAACAAACTCGGTAAAACTCGACTTCACTCAGGACACATGGGTAGACAGGGCAAACCAGCCCTCTTCATTTTGTTTCTCAATCTGTCGAACAAAGAGGCAAAAAGGATTTAGAAAGTAACCAGGAACATACAAGATTTATAATTATTTAGACCAAGTGTATAGAACCAAGTAATCCTATGCCAGAATGGTAGTGGAAATTAAATTGCTACTGGCAATTTTATTCTCTAACAGAGACACTCCCAAATAACTGATTCCCTGTCAACAGATCCCCTTACTGATTTAGGAGACCTAATTTCTTAAGGATAAATCCAGTGTTTAATACAAATCATAGGTACAACTTTTAAAAATGACAAAAAGAGTCATTTGATCTTAGTAAATTAAATTTGTTACTAAATTCCAGAAACTAAGGACAAATTATATAAAATAGTTTGCTTTAAAAAGCTGTTTTAGAATATAAGAACAGCAAAGGACAAATCTTATACTACTGGGCAACTGGGCTATCTGAGTCTATCAATTAATTTGGGCTATAAATATTCAATGTTTATTAAAACACTATTTGGTCCAATTACCGAAGTTAGGAGTAAGAATTGCAAAGAAGATTCCCTCCACACCAGACAGTTGTTAGCTCAAGTTTGCAAATGCAACGTTTATGATTTTAAAGATATCCTCACAATTTGCTGTGACCAAACACTCAAAGGAACTATATGTTGCTGTACTACCAACACAGAAAAATGCCTTTTGCAAAAATTTTGGATATATTGTAACATGCTTAGATTCTATATATTCCGATAGCAAATCAAAACACATGAAGAATACATTAAGATGTTTATGTACCCTTTGTGCCCTAACTTCCCTAATCAGTGGCACTCAGATATGGCACACAGGGGTAAAGAGACAAGGAAAGTGACCCCAGGGCTCACACAGCCACAGCAAGGAAATGAGCGAACTGACATCTCGGTATACCCACAACTTCAAGGCACACCCGTGTGTCCCGCCACGCTATTCGGAATGCTCTTTGCGAAACCAGTAATTTCCAGTCTTTGATGGTTGAAATCCTATTGAATTTTCCCTTGTTCCTTAGTTATCTCAGAAAACAAAAGAAGCATATGACTGACTTGCTTTTTTCTAATGAAGGTGAATTAGTATTTCTTTTCTCCTGAGAATTGTATATCATCTTTAGGACAACAGGAAGACTAATTAAGAACGGAAATCACTCAATCCGCCACCTTTCACCCTCACCCTTCTGACCCCTACACACATTTCACAATTACATTTTATCACACACCTTTGCTCTTGGATTAAGAGGTGTGAATTGTCCACTTCCTGAGGTGGCGTTTAACGGAGAACAAGAATTACTAGTAGCTCCTGAAGATCTATTTATGAGAAATAAGAGAGAGTGAGTGATCTATCACTATTAACCTTCAAAAATTAGGTAAGACAGACAATTCTCAATACTGGCAAGAGCTTGAAAATGAATGGCTGAGTTACATCCAAATGAGGAAAATTATTTGTAACATATTTCTACCAACCTGTCTTTTTTTTCTTTTAATTAATAGACTTTCTTTTTCAGAGTAATTTTAGGTTTACAAAAAGATTGAGTGTAAAGTACAGAGTTCCACTGTACCCCTCACCCCCCACCTACCCCCACAGAGTTTCCCCTATTATTAACGTCTGGCATCAGTGTGGTACATTTTTTACAACTGATGAAATAATATTGATACATTATTATTAATTAAATATATAGTTTACATTAAGGTTCACACTTTGTGTTATACATCCTATGGATTTTCACAAATCTATAATGACATGTATCTACCATTACCATACCATACTGAAAAGTTTTTAACATTAAAAGGGAAAAATGGATGTGCAGGGGTGGGGAAGAATGCCAAGGCAGTGGAAGAATAGTGGAACTTAGAGAACAGTGCAGTGTAAGCACGAACAGTGGAGACAGAAGAGCCAGGTATGTCCTTAGTGTCACCATTTACCAACCATGAGACCCATTGCGGCAAATCACCCAATCAGCTCAGTGAGCTTCAGTTTCATTTATTGTAAAGGACAAAAATACTACCGGTCAATTTACCCACCCTGTCACAGATTATCTCCTAATTTTGTAACCCATAAAGTACTCTATATATGCGCTATTATCCCTTTTTTTCCAGCCAACTCATACTTTTCTAATGAATTAAGGCTTGTTCCTCACTCCTCTTCTTCCCCCCACCCCAAAATCTCCTTTCCAATTACTTTATTTTCTTTACAGGTGTAAGTCTGTCTGAACCTGAGTTAGATATTATGAATTTCCTTTTTTCACAAAGAAAATGAAACATATACCACATTCTTGATTTTTTTTTAAGTAACTATTCACAGTGTAACCCTACCTTCTTGTATTTATCCCACTGGTGGGAGAGAGAGTACTGCATTTTGAGCTTTCTGGGGCTTCTGCTCCTGGAATAGACACCTCGATTGTCCTCTTTCCTCCTTCTACAAGAGAAAAATAAATATTAGTTTCATTACATTTCATTAAAATAGAAATAAAAGTTTAACTTGATTTTTGTCTTACTGCATATTTCACATTATAAATTTGGGGGTTCTTTCTATATTTTTATCATTATGGCCCACAGATACACTTGAAGGATTTTTTCAAAAATGAACTGTGAGACAAGAAACTTTAGTCACTAGTGTCAATTCAGTAGCATGCCAGTTCATAGAGAGCCAGAATCTTCAGACTAGTGGTATCATGTCAGATCTGGAAGTGAAAAACAGAAATTAAGAGCTAGCCTTAAAGAACTTGCGATTCTTGTCAAAAGCAGCTTATCTAAAGTTTTCAAAAAAAAAAAAGGAAAAAGAAAGAAAATTTCTGAAGTCATTCAGTAAAACTTTAACTCTGCTAAATCTATTACATGATTATTGTTACTGAAGACATTAAATTGGGAGGGGAAAGTTGGCTGATGAGCTCATATCACCAACGGCAAGTATAATTATGCACATTTTCAATATTTCAGAAGTAGGTTACCAATCAACAAATATTTACTAAGTCTCTGCTAACGAAAGGCTTTATGTCCCTCCCAGGCAGTTTCACAGAGGCTCCTATGTGTCGCTGCTTAAAAAAGGGATTTCCGGGCTTTAAGGGGTAAAGAAACCCTATTTAATTTTCTAACATATTCGTTGGTTATCCTAGAAAACCAAAGAGGTTTTGCATGGCGTATGATTTATTTTTATCTTTATCATTACAGCCCACAGAGGTTCCTGTGAAACCAAGAATTTTACTTAGAAAGAATATCTTCGAGAAGAACCACTGGAATGAAAAGAACACAGTCACAAATTTACCAATTTGCTTTAGAATTTCAGACAAATCACTTAACCTCTTTGTGCCTCAGTTTACTTATCTATCAAATAGGCATGATATCAGCTCTGTCTACTCTCAGGATGTGTTGAGGACTAAATGAGACAACATAAATGAAAGTATTTTTAACCTTAGAGAACTATTGAAACAGCAGATGTCTCACTTGATCACAAAATTATTCTTAACAGTGATCTGCTTTATTTTTCCTCACTGCACTCAGCATTAACTGACATTGTCTCGTATATTTATTTGCTTATTTGTTTACTGCCCACTCCCCAACGTGAGTACTGCAGTAGTCCAGCTGGCAAGGTCTTGTCCTGTTCAGTGCAGCATCCCCAAGGCCCAGAACATGGCAGGCACATACTGCGTGTTCACACATACTGAGGGATTTGATTTATTCATTCTAATCAGAAGTTGCCCCTAGACTTCATGACTATGAAGAACGGTAAACAAAGCTGTCATTTGAAGAAGGCTAGAAGAAACAAAGAGGAAGGGCCCTGGGGAAACATGTGATCCACCATTTTCCACTAATTTCCAGAGTCTGCTTTCTGGGTCTGTAGTTCCAAAAAAGAAATAACTTCTGAGAGAAAAAGTCTTATTGGCAGACACCTTAAAGGTAACTTACTTCACAACCAGCCACAAGACACAGGAATCCCTCTAAACCCCAAAGCTTGAGCAACTCAGGGAACGCACCAGTCACTAAACAAAGCTGCTTCTGTTCTTGACAATTAGAACCTTCTCGTATACTGAGCCAAAACTAGTCTCTCTACACATGCAACTCTACCCTCTGAGGGTCTTAGTACTCCAATTTTTGGTTAAAAAGCAACTTGAGATCTACTTCATTTTATCAGTACCTTTTGAATGTGAATACCCAGACAACTAATTTTTCAGTTTCTGTTGTATTATTTAGAATCCTCTCTAGCTTTTCACACTCCTAAATGTAACAACAGAATAATGAAAATTTATGAATGAAATGTTTTAATGGTTTTAATAGAATAATAACTTGTAAAGTATTGATGAAATTGTAAATTATCATTTTGATGTTATATTTTATACTTAGCTGCAGCATATGTCCTAAGAAAATCATGTACGGTAATGAATCTCATTTACATGTAGAGCAGCTTAGGAGCTCCGACACCAAAGATGGACTGCAGGCACCATGGGACAGCTTTCTAGCAGGAGACTGGCTATTTCCGTCACTTATTCTGTGACTTAGGTCTGTTTCTTTCTATTAAAATTGAAGGCCCTGAAATATATGGTCTCTGAGATTTCTTTCAGCTCAATATATACTTGCAAAATCAAGAAAGTGAAAACTTGCATGTGTCTAGTTTTTAAACCACGAATTCGTGACCAACCAGTCCATGCTCCGAGAGGTGACTGAACAGGTGATACTGGGGGGGAGGACGGATTCCAACCCACAAGCTTCTGCTGCTCTATTAACTGCAGGAGTTTCGCACGAGCCTCCATACTCTGCCGAGTCAGTTCCGCAATCCGCTCCTCCATGCTGCTCGGTGTTAGAGGTTGCGCTGCTGGGAAAGTCTTTTTAAAAGAAAGGTACAAATTCCATATTGAAAATAATCCAAACAATTTTGATTTTTTGTAAAAATAAACTCTTCTAGTAAGAGCCGGAAAGTTAGTATTCACAGCCCTTGCTATATGCAAACTTGAAGAGTGGGTAAATAATAGAATTTACAAGTCATTTAATTGAAAAATTAGGGCAAAAGTAAAGGGATACTAATCCTTCTAATATTGGTGTCTGATTCAAGAAAGTTGGGGACTCGAAAGGAACGGAAGGGGTAGAGTAAGAAGTAGCCACCCAAGGAATAGAATGTAAGTTTAATTTGACAATTCCTGAGAGGAATACATGTGTCATTCTTCATAATTTCATTTAGTTAAATATGGCCCTTTGGGAAAAAACAATCCCTAAGAGAAATCACTAATTTGTAGCTTATGCCCATTAGTAAAAAATAAGAGATAAGCAACACAGTACGAATTAAAGATAATTTGTAATTCTGATTATAACAAGAAGGGTGGCGAGGGCAGTGACACTAACTAGTCCACTCTAGCCTGGTCTATATCCTAATTGGAAAAGGAGGCAAGCTCAGTTTTAACTCTGCTGACTTTTTTTTTTTTTTTTTTTGATGAGGAAGATCAGCCCTGAGCTAACATCTATTGTCAATCCTCCTCTTTTTGCTGAGGAAGATTGGCCCTGGGCTAACATCCGTTCCCATCTTCCTCCACTTTATATGTGGGACGCCACCACAGCATGGCTGGACGAGCGGCGCATAGGTCTGCACCGGGGATCCGAACCTGTGAACCCTGGGCTGCTGAAGCTGAGCGCACAAACCCCATCATGATGCCACTGGGCCAGCCTCTCTGCTGCCTTTTTTAAACCAAGGGTTGCCTGTTTCAAATAATTTTCAAAACTCTGCAAACATAGAAATGTCTCCAATGACTCAAAACTGAGGCCATTCATACCTGCATACACCTGTCCTGACGGCTGCTGCCCACTCCTAATACTCCTCCCTGACTCCTCTTCTGCCACTCCCTTCTGACTACTATTTCTGTGCCTTGATACCCACATTGCTCTCACTCCCCATGAGCCATCGCTCACAGAGGGGTCCCTATCCCCACCCACTTCTAACGTGCCTCATGGAAGCCCTCAATCCACCATTGGTAAAGCCCTTACGGAAGCAATCACCTCTGGACCCCCTAGTCCATGAAGTTCCCCAGCTCTTTCCCACTGCTAACGCACTGTTCAACCTCTATCAGAACCCTGACGGGAGCCACGTTGGCTCAAGAAGGGGTCAAAGGAAGTCTCTCCCTCACTGGGACCAGCATGAGGACAAGTGTTATCAACACTCTCCAGTTGAACTTAGAATCCCTTGTCTCCCCACAAACAAGGAAACGAAGGTTGAAGTTACCAGGTTAGCCCACAGTTTATTTAACTTACAAAATTCCTGCACTATAATATGCAGCCTTTTGCTACTCAAAGTGTAATCTCTGGACCAGCATCATCTGGGAACTTATCAGAAATGCACGTCTGACCTCAGACCTATTCAATCAGAAACTGCATCTTAGCAAGATCCTCAGATGATTCGTATGTACAGTAAAATCTGACTCTAATAATCCTGTAAAACAACATTTCTATAGGAAAATGCATTCTGTGTCCTAAAAAATTAACTCCTCATGAGTTCAGGGCCAACTACACATAATTCTCTTTTATAAGCCCCTTTAGGAGCAAAAATGCTTTCAATTAAAATGTAGTGGCAGAGCAAACTTTCATGCCAAATTAATTCCACATTTTACATTTAAAACTTCATTCGTCGCTTAATTTTAGCTTTTCTACACATTTTATCTTTGTCCTATTTTCCTCATTCATTTCCTCATTTTTTATTTTATGTTGTCCTCTTTTATTGTATGTGTGATATAAATTGATAAATAACTTCTACTTATTTTGTGATGAGGATATGACAAAGCATAAGCCATCTAATAGCATCCTCAAAAATGTTCAGGCTCACTTTTGTAAAGAAGTCCCTTAAGATGCTCCAGCAACGTAAATTCCTACCCATTCCGAGTCAATCCTTAACTGGTACTTACGGCAGTCATGTCGCCTGCATGACTCGTCTCCTGTTTGTTTAATTCCCGAAGTCCATCCCCTTGCTCTCCCCCTGGCCCAATGATATTATTCAGATGCGCCTTGATAGCTGAATTCTGCAGTGTCAGCTCAGCAATTCGTGCCATGATGTCCTTTCTTTGTATTAATGCCTCCTTTGTTCTAAGCTGTTGCCCATCTCCCAGTATGGGGGGCTCGTCCAAGAATGTGGGGTTTCTTGAATGCTGAGCGTTTGGATGGGAACTGCAGAGGGGTTGGGAGAGGTTAACAAAAGGATCCTGGGTTTTGTTCTCCAAATCTTCTCCCATGTGAGAGACCCTCCACCTCTGGGTGAAGAGACGACTCTCATCACTTGAATTCTGAATGTCTGTGCCAGTAGGTAAGGTCTTCTTTTCCCAATTTTGTTCCTTCTCAATTATTTCCACAGTGGGAGGAATTCGTGGAGCAGGACGAGTTTGAACAGTCCTCCTCAATACTGGAGAGAAAATTAAAAAATAATAAACATGTATTATTTAGCCATAGATTGGCACTATAATCATCTCATTAGCTCATCATGGTAGTTAGAGAAGTGTGTCAGCAGAAGGGTTCGGCTTCTGAATGCCACTTCTAACAATCAAGTACAGAGACTCTTCTATTGCTTAAAGCATTATTGAGTATCCTTGTGAAAAACCACTTGCCAAGTTCACATTTTAACACATATATTAACTCATAACTGGGAATCTTGGGAGTGGAGGGGGTGCAAACACCTAATGTAAACTGAGGACAGTCAGGAAAGGCCTCTCAGAAGAAGTAAAATTTCAAAATGATTACATATGTGGCAAAAAGTAGAGCAAAGAACATCACCGGCAGAAGAAACAACACTATGTGAAGGCCAAAAAATAGGAAAGAGCCAAGAAGGGAGCCAGTCTAGCTGTAGCATAGCAACAAGGGGAGAACTGGGAAAAGATGAGATTGGAGAGGTGCTCAGGGGCCATTTATTGCAGAGCCTTTTAAGCCGTGTTAGGAATTTCATAATTTAATCCAAGAGCAATGACACCTGGAGAAGGTTTAGCAATGATTCAATTTACATTTCTTAAAAGGTGTAGGATAATTGGGAGGTCCAGGAATGGAAGGGGGGAGACCAGTAAGCAATTGTGGTAGTCCAGAAGAAAGATGATGGTAGCTTTGACTAAAGCATGTTGGCTACAGAGATGGAGAGAAGTAGATAAATTTGAGAAACGTTTTGGCAATAGAACTGAGAGTGATGACCTAGAAGTGGGGAGTGAGGGAAATACACAGATCAAGACAGCACGCACAACTGAGTAGATGGTGATGCTATTTACTGAGATGGAGAAGATAAGAACAGATCTGGGGGAAGGGAGGTTATTAGGAAGTCAGTTTTTAACATGCTGAGTTTAAGGTGCCTTATGATTCATCCATATATCCATCCAAGCAGATGGATACATGGGTTGGAAACTCAAGAGAGACATCTAGGCTAAGGTCGCAAACTGGAAGTCACTGGCTTATAGAAGGTATTGGAAGTCATGAGAATGAGTAAGATTATCTAGAGAGAAAGAACAGAGTGAGAAAAGAAACCAGTACCAAGATATGAAGAACTCAATAAGGTAAAGGAGGGGAAGCTAGCAAGCAGACTGAAATGGAGCAGCCAGAAAAGAAAAGAGAAATATTACAAAATACGGTATCATGGAAACAAAGAGGCAGGGTTAACTGTGGGTAACACTACTGTAAGACCTAGAAACCTAAGGACAGAAAAGTGTACACTGGACTTGGTAACATGTTGGCCAGTGGAGCCCTTAGCAAGAGTGCTTTAGGTAGAAAGACCTAACTGGGAGTGAACTGGGGGGACAGATGCTTCTAGTTAAGACTACAGACTGAGCACACATTTACCTCACCTCCTTTCACTGACAGCAAGGAAATATAAAAGTAAATAAATCCACATCAGTACAGATAATGCTCTGGAGAGAGGCATTAGCAAATTAGACAGTTCAACACATTTCTGGAAGACTGAAAGTGGATGAGAAATGTGTGACAGAATGAAATTGCGCAGAAGCCACAGTCTAGAATATGTATATATTATAAGGAAGCTACAGGTAAAGCCAGTCTTTCTGGGGGAATGGAAAAGGCTACAGGCTCAATGCTGACAGGTACAGAGAGAGAAACTGAGAAGCACGACTGAAAACTGGGGAATTAACTTGAAAGTTTGTCTTCTGTACAGTTATGTCAGTCAAGTTGTTGCTCACCACTTCCCCCACACATTCTTGAAAGCAAAAAACCAGGGTTGGGGAGAACAAATGTGGTAGCCCCAGTCGAATAGCTAGATCCCACCTGCCTTCTCTCAAAGGAAGCCTACAGTTAACATATGGTGCCCATAAACACAGAGCAACTGCTTGAGGCAAAGCCTACTGGGAAAACAGATCTAGACCCATCTACATCCCAGAAGAGAAAACTTATGCCAACCACGTATAATACTCAACCTAGTCATTTATTCTTAACTATGAATGGACAATAAAGGATCACCAGACATCCAAGGAAAACCAGCAGCACGAAAGAGAAAAGCCAGGATAGGTAAACAGAACAACAAGCTAAGAAGAAAAGAAAGAAATTTCAGGTACAGAACAAAATGTAACAAAATTCTAACTAGTATCCTCAGAAGAGAGTTTCTGGAAGATCTTGCATTCATAATAAGCAGCAATGAAAAAGGGACAATCAGATGGTAAGAAACAGCTCTTGCTCGGAAATTAAAAATATGATTGGTGAGGGGCTGGCCCGATGGCATAGTGGTTAGGGTTGCGTGCTCTGCTTCGGCGGCCCAGGGTTCGCAGGTTTGGATGCTGGGCACAGACCTATGCACCGCTCATCAAGCCACACTGTGGCAGCGTCCCACATACAAAATAGAGCAAGATTGGCACAAATGTTAGCTTAGAGACAATCTTCCTGAAAGAAAAAGAGAAAGATTGGCAATGGATGTTATCTCAGGGCCAGTCTTCCTCACTAAAAAAAAAAAAAAATGTGACTGGTGAAATAAAAAAGCGAAAAGGCAGGGCTGATTATAAAGTGAGAAAAATCTTCCAGAATACCAGAAAGAAGACACAAGGCCAAATACATGAGAAAATAATCCAGAAGGTCAATATATCATTTTCCCAAACTGCAGAAAGTCACACATCTTCAGACTGACAGGTCTCACTGGTGCCTCACAGTATGAGAAAAACGTTCTCATCGTGTCCATATTTAGACACAACTTGTGCAATTTAAGAATAAAAATGAAGGGGGGCCGGCCCGGTGGCGCAAGCGGTTAAGTGCGCATACTCTGCTTCTGCGGCCCGGGGTTCGCCAGTTCGGATCCCGGGCGCGTACTGACGCGCCGCTTGGTAAGCCATGCTGTGGCGGCGTCCCATATAAAGTAGAGGAAGATGGGCACGGATGTTAGCCCAGGGCCACTCTTCCTCAAGACAGAAGGGGAGGATTGGCATCGGATGTTAGCTCAGGGCTAGTCCTCCTCACAAAAAAAAAAAAAGAAGAGAAAAAAAAAAGAATAAAAATGAAGGGATCCTAAAAGCTTCCATGGAGAAAAAGTGGGTTCAAATATAAAGAAGTAAAAGACAGATGCGACGTCAGACATCAACAGCGACACAGGATACTAAAAAATCAATGGAATGATGCCTTTAATTTCTCAGGAAAAAGGACTATGGACCTAGAATTCTATATCTAGCCAAATTATCAACTAAGTGTAAGAGAAAAATGAGAATATTTTTAGATTTTCAAAAACTCAAAGTTTACCTCCTATACACCCTTTCTGACTATTTCTTTCAGAAAATTGAGGGAGAAATCCAAAAAAGAGTTAGAAATGGAATCTAGGAAACAGCAGATCCAACCCAGGTGTGTAACAATAACAAGCCCCAGGACGAGAGCTGTGCAGCAGGCCCCCGGAGCAATCAGGCGAGACAGGAGCAGGGGCGCCAGGGCTGTGGGAAGGTCTCTCTGGGATGAACGTGGATCCCACGTCATGGATAGCACGAGTAAAGGACATGAAGATATGGCGAAAGCACATTATTCTTTTGTCAACAAGATGGCGAAAGTAATCTGAAACTCCATGCAAAATAAAAACTGAACGAGAAAGTCACAGTACAAATATAGAGCAAACTAAGAGATTCTGAGCAACTGAGGAAGTGAAATAAGAATTCACCATGATCTTCGTACTAGGAACTTTTTCCTTTATGTGGCACAAGGATTGATAGTCAAAATGGACCCAAAAAGAAAATGAAATTGTTATTGGTTTTCAACTCTCAGCATCCATCTACAAACAAGACACAGAAGACACAACTGTGGTAATGGAACACTGTAAATGTTATTGAACTTGATCCTGTAAAAGGAAAGGTAGAGTTGACTGAAGGTGGGAGTGGGAACACAGGAGAAGTAGAAGGGAGGCAGGGAGAGGAGCTAGTATTCTCACTGTATGTAGTAGAAAGCCAAGAGATACTATCTGAAGTTAGTGAAGAAGAAATAGAAAGTACTTAAAGTCATATAATTAAGCAATACAAGAATTAAAAATAAAAATATAATCATCCAAATTAGACAGGAAAAGGAAGTAGGTGTTAATGTGAATTAAACCCTCTTCTTTAATAAGGGAGTCTATAATGATCATGTCAAGTTGATATTTCAAGGAAAGAGATGTAAAAATATTTTATATTAATTATGGAAAGCACCTCCAGATAAACAGAAATCAAACAGGGATAAAAATGATTGCCTCTTGGGGTGGCCTAGATGTAGGGGAGGAGGAGACTCTGATACGTGTTTTTTTTTAAATTACATGCAAATATGAATTAGAATTAACACTTTAAGTTAACGAGTGAATGGGAGATAAAACGAAACCAGCATATATACACTCCTCTTTCAAGAAGCGTGGCTATAAAGGAAAGTAGAAATCAATTAGTAGCTAAAGGAAAATATTTATGATGGGAAGTTCTAGAGCGACACTGCCCACTACGGTAGCCTCTGGCCACATGTGGCTATTCATATTCAAATTTAAATTAATTAAAATTAAATAAAATTTAAATTCAGTTCCCCAGTCATACTAGCCACATTTCAGGTGCTCAGCAGCCCCATGAGGCTAGCGGCTACCATACTGAATGGAGCAGGTATACAACATTTTCATCATCACAGAAAGTTTTATTGAATAGAGTTGTTCTAGAGCATAACTGAACACCCATGAAGGGCCCTATATATCTCCCATCTTTATCTGCATGGTTAATTTAACTAAACAACTCTTTACATGTGAGCATTCCAAACAAAATACTGAAAAATAAACCAATTCAGAATACATATTCAAAGGCAGTTCTATCTGAACACTGTACAAGAAACGTGCCGTGCTATTTTCAGTGCAGAACCTGCTGAAGATGCAAACAAAATGTGGTTTATAGCAGTCCCTGAATAATTTGCTTTAATGAATATTTAGTATATTTGCAATCAGAATAAAAATATTTATTGTAATTGTTTCTTTAAAAGAATGTTAAGCTATTTTAGTATTACCAATGAAAAACAATTTACAATATCTCAAAAGAGATCATTAGACAAGTGTTTTAATACCATACAAACATTTGAAAAATTACTTTAAGAAATGAAAATTTAACCTGAACAGAAACTAGATTTGAAATCATATTCCCTAAATCTAGCCAGAGTTAATAATACTGCTTAGCCCTCTAAAGAGGAAATAGCGAATCATAGAATTATAGAACTGGAGGGACATAAAGATAAAGGAAAACCCTCTCTTAGACATGGGACAACCAAAGTTCAGAGAAGGTAAGCATCTCAGCCCCATGCCTCACAGCCAGTCATCGGTGGGCAGGCCAAGACCCTTGCACTTCCGACCCTCAGCCAGCACTGTCTCCCTCCCCCACACAGATATGACTCTCTACATTTGCACTATAAATGCCCATATTTTATAATAGCAAGGATTTGTCATTTTCTTTAACCTCTTATGGCCTCTTCATGTCCTCTATTGGAAACATACATCAAAGTGCAGAAAATCTGACAAAATTTATATGTCTCAATGACAATAAAAGTTATTCTTCTGTTCCTCTATATAAGAATATAAACACTCTTTTTAAACAAATAAAAATTTAGGCAAATCAGGGCTGAATAATAATTTTCTAGAAACTTTGGAGGAGATTCTAAGGCAGTTTTTTGATTGAAGAACTCTTTTGAAACTGAAATGAAAGCTATAATGCCAGAAAAATGCACACTTTCCAAACAATGAAGCTGTCCCTGGAACTTCTGAAGACCATCCATGAACTCCAAGTTAAGAATCTGTGAGCTAAAGATTAACAATAAATTTTTTAATTTTATTCAAAACTCTATATATTTGCTGCAAAAGTAACTCTAAAGCTATTTTTAATTGTCCATCAATTTTCATTACAAAATTCCCTCACCTGACTGAGCTAAAAAGTTTTGATGAGAAAGAGGTTAATAACCAGATCTGACATACAAATTCCTTAAGGTCACAGTTTTCACCTTTCCTTGGTTAGACTTTCATTACTCTCTGGGCTGTAATCTCCTCTTGTTTCTTACCCCTTCCTATGCTTGTGGACCATAGCGACAAACAGGATTGCTCTTACTCTGCATTCTAACGCTGAGGACTTTGATCCTTCGATCTGAGTTTAACACTTTAATGAAACAGATACGTAATGAAATTCAGTGTCATATTTTACCATAGGTATAACACATATGATGTAAACCACCCAATCCTCCTTCAGCTTAAAGGTTACTTATGGTTATCAAGATCTTTTAAAATTCTGTTTATCAGGTAACAATGAACACAATACATTACATATACGAAGCATAAAAACCAATAGCCATATAACTTTAGAAGAAGCCGCTTACCATCCTGCAGAGGAGAGAATTCTGAGTTGCTCTTCTGCCTGGGTGGTGTTAACAACACAGCTGGCTCAAATATATGTGCTGGAAAATTGTTGGCCAAATTCACACTATCTGGCAGGTCTGGCACCTGAGGCAGTTTAACCGGCAAGTCTTCCTGTGGGAATTCAACCACTTCTTCCCCTCTGAACGTCAATGGCACGGAGACATTAGCATTTACAGTTGGACCCTCTAAGAAGATGAGAGGCTATTAATACTTAAGGGAACTATAGGCACATTTCAGGTATTTATACTTAAATGCATTTCCGCAGAGGGCAAGATCACGTGGCCTTGAGAGACTTCACCTTCTAGGCCATATCCTCCTTCAGCAGTAACTCACAGGCAGGCTCTAGTGGGGCCAGCACTGCGAAGAAAGAGGCTGTTTTTGAGAAAAGTGCTGAGGTCCCCCAGCTCTTGCGACCTGTCCTAGCCATTGAGATTATCAATGTCAAATTTCAGTCAGCCACTTCTTAGAACCCTTCCTAAGAAAACACCTCAACACATAAAACCCTTTCCACTCAGAGACACTCATCAAAGTATCACTCAGAAGTAAAAAACATGAAAAAGCCTAAATATCCTATTCAGCCTATGGCATATGATGACACATGAGGTGAAGAAAGCTTTTCAAAACATCACCACAAATGAACGAAAGTTATGAATTTCTAAAACTCAGTATTTTTTTTCTTTCCAAGACCATCTCTTCTCCTCCTGAGCCTGAAGCACTGTTATTAAAAGTATTGGCACTACATAAAAAAAGACAAGATCGTGCCATTTGCAACAACACGGATGGACCTTGAGGGTATTATGCGAAGTGAAATACATCAGACAAAGACAAATACCTTATGATCTCACTCATATATGGAAGATAAACAAACACATGGATAAGGAGAACACGTTAATGGTTACCAGAGGAGAACGGGGTCTAGGTTGGAAGTGGGAGACGTTGTGAAAAGTGACCAAATTCTGAATATATTTTGAAGGCAACCAGTGGGATTTGCTGATGCGTTGGATGTGGGGTGAAGACATGAGAGAAGAAGAGTCATGTGCCATGTGCAACAACGTGGTGCGGTATAAAGAGGCGCGTATGTATGGTGACGGATAAAACTAGACTGTTGGTGGTGAACACGATGTAGCCTATACAGAAACCGAAATATAATAATATACACCCGAAATTTACACGTTATAAGTCAATATGACCTCAATAAAATTAAAATTAAAAAAAAAAGTATTGGCACTAAATTCCCACCCGCCTAGGAAGTTAGCTCTGCTACTTTCTATTTATGTGACTTTGCTAAGTTACCCACCCTCTCTAAGCCTTAGTTTCCTCATCTGAAAAATGGGGATAACAACACCACCTACCTCGTAAGACTAGTATGAGGATTAAGTGAGATAATACATGTCAAACACATAAAAAGTATCTAGCATAGAGCAAGTATCCAATAAATATTATCTGGAAATAGCAGTGGCAATCATAGTAGTGACGATGCCATATGTGCATAAACGGCCAATAACTCCTTATAAGTTTACAGTTCTGTTTGTTTACTCTATGAGTATTTTAATACCAGTCTGGGATAATAAGACCACACTCACCTGGACTGTCTATAATTCTTCTACTCGTGGCTCCCTTTTCTGATGCCTGACTCTCTTTGTTGAAATTTATTACAGGACAGTTCTTAATGGCATGTGAAAGTGATATAAGCTGCTCATCTGTTGTGACCATGTACTGCTGAAGTCTCGCCTAGAGAAAAAATAATGAAATAACATCATTGGCATATCAGGCAGCAAATCGTCACCTAGATTTGTATAAGTTTATCATTACCTTAAATACACTAAGAATTTCAGACTTTCATTCAAATACTAAAACAATGCCTTCATAAGAATACATAATCATAAATATTTTAAAAGTCCCATGATAGAGGAATAGTTAAATAAATCGTGGAATATTATTAATTAATAAATACACTGCAATGACAGTAAGAATTAACCTTTTTATAGGGCTTTCTACTTACAAATCCTCTTTTTATAGATAATATCAACTGACTCTCAAGCTATCCCAAGAGACAGCTACATCAGGTGGAGGAAACTCAAAAGAATATTACACAGGCATTTAAAGTGATACAAATGAGCACTATAAAAATTTATGGTAATATGTATAAAATAACATTAAGAGAAAAATATATATATATATATTATACACACACAGAGACACATGTATCTCCAAGATGTACAAACATTTGATAAAAATTAGAGGTGGTTAGAAGACAGAAATATTATTAGTAGGACTACTGAATGAAGTATACTAAACATTTTTATATCAGCCCAAATTTTTTCCCAAGTTCCACATTTGTATATCCAATGGCCTACTCAACATCTCCATCTAGAACTCACATAGGCTTCTCAAACTTAAAATGCACAAAACCAAATGTTTCTCTTTAACATCCTCACCTCATCAATAACAACTCTATCCCTCGAATTGCTCAGTCCAAAACTTGGGAATCACCCTTGACTCTTCTTCTCTCACATCTTCTCCTTCACCCCATATCCAACCCATCAGCAAATCCCAGTGGTAGCCTTCAAAATATATTCAGAATTTGGTCACTTTTCACAACCTCTCCCACATCCAACCTAGACCAAGCTGCCATGTCTCACCTGAATTACTCCAATAACTCCTCTCTGTAATACTCTGCATCTGTGTTTGGCCACCTAGAGTCTAGTCCTATACTGCTCCCAAACTAGGCTGAGGCACCTTGGGGTACCACAGTGAACTCACAGGGGCCCCACACAACATTTTAAATTTTCAAGGGAAACACTGATGCTCAACATCTGTCAGCTTGAGGCAGCTCACAGATTCAACACTAGATCGAGATACATTCTTTTTGATGATGTCATATCTTCACGAAGCTCGGTTTTCAGTAGTTGCTATGCTAAAAAGCAATACTGCATAAAATTATTGTGGAATAGGAAATCATACCGATGGTGTCCAATATGATTCCAAGCTTTGAGAAGCTATACAGTGCCCAACAGGTACACATATTCCACTAGTATAACTGTGGTTATTTAATCATGAATAAAAGTATGACTTTTTAATCAATTTACACATTATTTTTTTCAAACAGCACCTAAGTTTTCAGACATAAATAATTATTAAGTTGTTTGAACCTAACTACTTAATAAATGGAACTGTTGGGTATTTCTTTGGGTCTAGGAGTATCTTGAAACGCTAAAGACACCATGAACAGAGAAAGGGCGGTGATCTCTGATCTAGTCTCAACATGGCAGCCCAGAGTGATCCTCTTAAAAAATCAGATGACGTCTCTTCTCTACTCAGCACCGTCCAGTGGTTCCCCAACTCACTCAGCATAAAAGCCCAAGCCCTGACCCAGCCTGCAACGTCCCACGTGATCTGGCTTATCTGCTCTTATCTCCCAGTACTCTCCCTTTCCCACACTCCACTCCAGCCACACTGGTCTCCTTGGTTTTGACCTCAACACCACCCTCCCACCTCAAGATCTTAGCACTTCCTGTTCCTCTGCCTAGGCTGTTCTTCTCTCAGCTATCTGCATGCTTGTCCCCTCACCTCCTTTAGGCCTTTGCTCAAATGTTACCTCCTCAGACAGGCACGGCCCATCGCATTTACAACTTCCCACCCTAGACACTCCCTATGCCTCTTACCTGCTTTACTTTTCTTTATAGTACATATCACCATCACCATCTAACTTACTTTATACTTCACTTGTTTTTTTAGGATTTATTTAGAATATAAGCTCCATGAAAGCAAAGATTTCATTTTTGTTCACGACTGTATTTCCTGCACCTGGAACAGTGCCAGGCCCACAGTAGGGACTCAATAAAGATTGTTGAACAAATTAGTACATTTTAAAACTGCCCATCTTCCCAGGAGAATTGAAAACATATGTTCATGCAAATACTTGTACACACATGTTCATAGCAGCATCATTCATTCATAATATACAAAAAGTGGAAACAACTCAAATGTCCATCAACTGATGAACGGATAAGCAAAATGTGGTATATCCATATAATGGAATATTACTGGGTAATAATGAGGAATGAGTACTGATACAACAGGGATAAACCTTAAAACATTATGCTAAGTGAGAGAAGTCAGACACAAAAGACCACATATTGCACGATTCCATTCACATGAAATATCCAGATTAGGCAAATCTATAAAAACATAGAGTAGAATTGTGGTTGCCAGGGGCTGGGGGGCGAGAGAATGGAGAGTGAGTGCTAATGAGTATGGGGTTCCTCTTTGGGGTGATGAAAATGTTGTGGAATTAGATAATGGTGCTGGTGCACAACTCTGTGAATATACTAAAAACCATTGGATTGTACACCTTAAAAGGGTGAGTTAAATGGTATATGAACTATATATATCAATTAAAAAATTGCATATATTATATCTAAGGTCCATTGACACAACACAACTTGTCTACTAACTATTGCTTATCTAGTCTCTTTTGGCTGATAAATAAAAGTAACAATAACCACCAGTTAAGAACAAAAAGATGAATAAAACCATCTTTGCCCTCAAGCAGCTTATAGTCTAGATGGCAGGTGCACATGTATGTGTAACACAATTTGGTAAATGCCACGAGAGCAATATCCAGAGGGTATCAAAAGTGCACAAAGGCAGAATACTTACTGCAGCATGGAGGCAATAAAGTTTTCTAGAAGAAATAATGTATGAGTCTTTAAAAAAAAAAAAAAGGAGCAACTAGCCAGACAAGTGGCAGAGGTCTTATCTTATAAAGACACTGTAAATAAATGTAAATTGCATATGACTACAGGAGGGTTCCTCAAAGGGTATCCTCTGTTCTTCTGAAATTAAAAGTGGCTATCATAACACTCATTTCACATTTTGGATAAATTGCTAAAATATTGGTAGTTATCATTTAAATGTAGATTCTGTCTTCCCCACTAAAGAGTATGTTCCTAAAGACAGTTAAGTAGACTTACTCCACATACTATTTGTGTCCAAGCTTCGACTACAGGACCTCCAATATAAAAAATGTTCAATAAAAGCTACCATTAATGATAATAAAGATGTGATAAGCAATCACATCAGCACAACTAAACCAAAGGCAACTAGAAGTGGATCTCATACAGTCCTACAGATGTTTTATACCACTAAACACAGAAACATTTGGGATCTCTTCTGAGTACCTGGGTAGCAGTATTTTCTTCTCTAAGAAGAAGAATTTCAGCTGTCAGAGCATCGATGAGCTCTCGATGATCACCTAACACTTGTTCCAGTTGCTGCCTCGTCTCTACTTCTTTACGCAGTTGGAGCTCACTCTACAAAAAAATATCAGGCAAGCTCCCATCAATAGCATCACAGGTTGAAAACTAAAGTTTCTACTCAAAGCTGTCGAAAAAGATAATACTTACAAAGTATATATTATGTGACAGTAAGGAGAATTAAATATTTTTATTAAAAGGTTTATATTTCATTAAAATGTGCTGCTTTATCTGCCCCCCTTCTTTAAATAGAACACAATCAACAGAACACTATATAGAATTAAATAACCATAATTTTTGTAGAAGAAAGCGCAGGGAAGAACATATACATACTGCTTGACTATATGCAGACTGTCTCTAGAAGGATACACTGGTGTCTGGTAACAATAGTGGGCTAAAAGGAGGCAAACATGTTAAATGGAAGTTAGGGTGGGAATTAGATTTTTCCTTGTACACCCTTCTGTATCTTTGAATTTCATGCCATGTGAATGTATCACCAATTCAAAAATTAAGTTTGTTAAAATAAAATTAAAAATAAATGATAACAGGTTCAAGTGGTTTAGCTTTGTAAAGCAAGTGATTAGCTAAAAAGTACCTGCCTGTAAGCCTGTAACACTTTCAGAGAGCCAGAAGCACACCCCTGGAGATTCCTAACTTATGAGTGGAAGAATATTAATACTTTCATAAGTCTGGCAGTACAATAAATTTTTCACTAAAAAGCAATTTTAGGAAGCCAGCTCCAGAGAAATTGAAACATCAGAATTAAGGTAGTAAATCAACTTATTTTTTAAAGATTTTATTTATTTAATTTTTCCCCCCAAAGCCCCAGTAGATAGTTGTATGTCATAGCTGCACATCCTTCTAGTTGCTGTATGTGGGACTCGGCCTCAGGATGGACGGAGAAGTGGTGCCTCGATGCGCACCCAGGATCCGAACCCGGGCCACCAGCATTGCAGCGCGCACACTTAACCACCAAGCCACAGGGCCGGCCATCAACTTATTTTTTAATAATAAAATTTCCTTAAACATTTTTTGTCATATTTAACAAATTTAAATACAAAAATAACAGTTTAAATAGATTTTTTTAAAGATGAGATACATAGTTAATTCTTATTCCACAGCATTCTCAGGACTGATTACTATTCACAAATGAATTAAAGAACCAATTCTTGTTTGTTTTATAAGTTATTTTCACAACAATAAAATATCTCCCACTTCAGACACTGAAGCAAAGCCCATTATCAGTCGTACAGAAAACACGAAGAATTTTCCTAATCTACGTCTACAGATCATAGGCATTCCACTCTCCAAACTGAACTAAAGTGGGAATAGAATGCAGAGAAAGGCAGTGGAATGAAGACACATTTCGTAGTTCTAATTAACCTATAATGCCAAACAGTAATATTAAGTATTAACACAAGATATAATTTTATTTATAGCACATTTACCTTACTAACTATATTTTACTAAAGCTCATATTAAAATTGACATCACTTATCTGATGTTATCTGTATCGGGATGGAGAGCGAAATTAAGAGGATAAATCCTTACTGCAGACGATCTAAAAGCGAGGTATTTTAAACAAAGCTATTCAAATTTGACTATACGTTGGAGGTCGCAATAGATTAAGTGTAGAGGGAAAAAGCCCACACGTTTCCACCAGCACTGGGAAGAGGAGACTCTGAGACCCTCACCTCTTACCTCTTTAAGGTACCGAACCAGGCGACAGAGGGAGCTCACCAGCGACAGAGTAAAGCCTGTGAGGCCCTGACTGCTCCGCGGCCCCTTGACCTCGCGGCCTGTCCACCGCTCGTATTCTTCCACCTCGTGCTCCACTTCATGGATCATGTGCTTGAGGACTTCCAGGCTGGGGTTACCGCTACTGGCTAGGTCTGCGGAGGCTGTGCTGGCTGATGACGTGTTTTTCTTCTGCTTGGAAGGAGCATGCAAATCTGGTTTTCTTTTCACTGATAATGACAGAAGTCATTCTATTTTAAGACCAGGAAAAATTATGCTAGAAAAACCTTTCACTGTTGTTCACAATTTCTAAAAGGTTTTTATAGAAGTTATCACCATTTTCTCATTAAAAACTCTATGGAGTTTAAACCAGGTTTATACTGTCTATAACGAATGTACTAGAACCATCTTTCTACAGGCTATCATGGGAAAAAGGAGGCATTTCTTAGCTACCATTCAACAAACTCTTACTTAGTTGGAGCCAACTGGATGAGTTTAAGGGAAAAAACATTTATTAAGAGACTAAGATAGCTGTATCAAGTTACACGTTTAATAATTCATCTTTGTCGATGAAAGGAATGAACCTTTATTAAACAGCTGCTTTTGCTTCCTTGGGTTCAGCACTTGTCCCGCAGCACAGCTCGAGTCTAGAGTCTCAGCTGCTTCTTCAGGCTGAAGCCTGGTGTGGATTCTCTTGACAGCATTGGTAGCATTCAGAGCGGCTAAAAGGAAGATTTCCAAAAGTATTTCAAGTGAACAAAAAAAAATTTTCAAGCATTTCAATTGACAGATCGATCAATATATTACTCAATTAGGCTAAGACAGGCAAAACTCAAATAACATTCCTTTAAAAATTAGGGTGTTTAACTGTATGATCTCACTCATATGTGGAATATAAACCAACACATGGACAGAGAAAACTGCATTGTGGTTACCAGGGGCAATGGGGGTGGGGGGTGGGCACAAGGGGTGAAGGGAGTCATATATATGGTGATGGACAAACACAAATGTACAACCCAAAATTTCACAATGTTAAAAACTATTAAAATATCAATTAAAAAAATAAATTAAAAAAAATTAGTGTGTTTAAGAAAGAACATAATAAAGCAAGCTACTACTCTGTGAGAAATAATACAGCATCAGAACAAACCTTTTTGTTCCCCTAGTGGAGGGGCAGATGATGGGGTTCCTGGAGGGGTTGTTATTTGTGACTGTGTTGTTATTTTCTGCTGAATATCAGCCCACAGTTTATTAATTAACTCAGAATTATCTTCCTTTAGTTGGTGGAGAAACCTATAAATTGTGTGACAACAAGCTATATTAGAATTAATGTGCTTTCATTTAAACTGTTCAAGTGCTTACCTGTTTGATTGGAAGGAATTTTTAATAATTCATAATCAAAGAAAAAATATGTTTTGCTTTAACTTATAAGACAGACAGCTAAAATGCCAGTCTCTTAGTAATAGAAGGAATCATTCCATCTCCCTCCCAGTTTCCCAGCCATGTTGGCTCCTAAAGCAGGAGGGTTTTGCCCTTTCTGAAGTTCTGTGGTGTGGGCTCCATCCTCCTCTCTCTTTCTCTAGAGAAAGGACATGGCTTGGTCCCTTCTGGTTTCTCTCCCCCTGAGCCTATCCTCAGAGCCCAGCCTCTGCTCACCACTGAAGCCAAGTGACTGGAACACGCTCTGCCCCTGTGTGTCGGGAGCAGAGAGACGGAGTGAGAAGAGCTGCAGCATAGGGCGTTAGAGAACTAAGCCTTTTGCTGTAACCATCTTTATCACTGATAAAGCTGATATTTTAATCTTCAAAATTGTCTGATTGCTTTGTCTATTTCTTAATTTCACTGAGACTTAACAGAGGTAGGGAGTCAAAAAGTGGAAACAACCCAAATGTCCACCAGCTGATGAATGGATAAGTAAAATGTATAATACACATGGTACTATAAAATAATATGACAAAGTCGACATCCAAAATATCAATCACATCAATAAATATTACAATCTTCACCAATTAAAAGAAAAAGATTTTCAAATTGGCCAACAAGGCAAGACCCAACTCTATGTTGAATACAAGAGACACATCTAGTATAAAATAATTAAGAAAGGCTCTGAGGGGTCGGCTCCATGGCACAGTGGTTAGGTTCGCACGTTCCGCTTTGGCAGCCTGGGGTTCACCAGTTCGGATCCTGGGTGCAGACCTACTCACCACTCATCAAGCCATGCTGAGATGGCGTCCCACATAGAAGAGCTACAACTCTACAACTATGATACACAACTATGTACTGGGGCTTTGGGAAGAAAAAAAGGAAAAAAAAAAAGAGGAAGATTGGCAACAGATGTTAGCGCAGGGCCAATCTTCCTGAAAAAAAAAAGGCTCTGAATAAAAGGATGAGCAAAGATGAACAAGACGATTAGAAACAAGAAGAAAGAAGAGCTTTCATTCCTGAGATCAAACAAAGTGGAACTGAAGCCAAAAGGCATTAAATGTGACGAAGGACACTTTATAATGCTAAAAGCCATAATTCACAATGAAGATATAATACTTATGGATCTCCATGTACCAAAATACACAACAGTCACCTTCATAAGGATGGAGGTATTTGACTCCAAATAGAAATAAATATAGTGAAACAGCAAATGCAAAGAAAAATAGATAGAAACACACTAATAGTAAGAGACTTTAATAGACTACTCTCATTATAAGATAGTGGCAAAAAATAACTAAGGATACAGAAGAAGTAAACAACAATCGATGAAGTAGATCTTACAGATATACACATAGAATTTTATACCTTGTTAATAGAGAATATACCTTCTTCTCAAGCACAAACACGGAACATTCACAAAAATCTGATTGTATATTAGGCCACAAAGAAAACATCATTAAGTTCCACAAGTAGAAATATCGCAAACCACACTCTGAGCACAATGTAATAAAACTAGAAATAACAAAACAAAAAACAAAGAGGATTTTCTATCTGGAAACTTAAAAAAAAAACCTTCTATTAAATAATTCTTAGGTAAAAGAGAAAATACAAACTGAAATTACCTAATTTCTAAAAAACAAAACATTACATGTTGAAATGTATGGTACACATTTAAAGCAGTAATCAGAGGAAAACTGAGAACCTTAAACATGTTTATCAATTAAAAATGAAAGAATGAAAATAAATGTATTAAATTCCCAAATCAAAAAGCTAGAAAAAACAAAGTAAACCAAAAGAAAGCACAAGGAAGGAAATATGGCAAAAATTGATGAGGAAGAAATCAGAAAAATAATAGTTCTAATTAATAAGTCAAAATCTAGGTTCTTTGAAAATTTAACAAAATAGACAAACCACTAGCCAACCTAATTTTAAAACGGGGGGAGGACCAAAAGAAATGACGAGGGGGAGACAAGCACTGAAAGACAAGACACTTTTTAGAAGTATAGAGATCACTTGTACACCTCTATGGAAATATACTGATAAACCTAGATGAAATGGATAATTTCCTAAAAACATATAATTTACCAAAATTGCCCTGAGTAGAAATAGAAAGCTTAAATAATCCAAACTCCATAGAAGAAATAAAGTTATTGTGGCACTTCCCCACAAAAAAGCACCAGGCTCAAATAGTTTCACAGAGGAATTCTATCAAACCTTCGAAGACTAGACGGTCCCAATACTACACAAATTGTTCCAGGACTTAATTAGAAAACCTTCCAAATGCTTCTTACAAAATCAAGTGTAACACTGTTACCTCAATCTGATATATTATATTTAAAAAATTATAGACAATATCACATAAATATTAATGCAAGACTACTAAATAAAATATTAACAAACAACATTCAACACCACAATAATGAAAATAATACACCATGGCCAAGTGGAATTTATTTCAGGAATGAAAGGATAGTTCAGTATTAGGAAATCCATAATATAATGCACCATATTAATAGATCTAAGCAGGAAACTCACATGATTATCTCTATAGAATTTGAAAAGTCTTTGACAAAATTCAATACTCATTTCTGATAAAAATAAACACTCAAGAAAATAGGGATTGAAAGATATTTCCTTAGCATTATTTAAAAAAAAATTAAAAAAGACCTCAGTACTGAAGTCAGCACCTTACTTAAGAGGAAACAATAGAGTCATTTTCACAGATCAGGACTAACACAAGGATGCCCACTCTTTCCACTATTATTTAACACTGTCTTATAGGTACTACAATTTACAAAAGAAACCAACTAGAGGTAATAAGACTTAGAAAACAAATAAAACTATGTCTATTTGCAGAAGACATGATAGAATACCTGGAAAATTCTAGAAAATCAATGCTAAAACTAACTCAACCAAGATTCAATAAGGTAGCAGGATATCAATAACACACAAATCATTAGCTTTCATAAAGACAAACAACTAGTTAGAAGGTATAATGAAAGAGAAAACCCCACATAAAAGAGTAACAAAAAAACATAAAATACTTAGGAATAAATTTAACAGAAATGAGCAAAACCTGTATGAGGAAACCATTAAAATACTCTTTAAAAACAAAAAAGTAGACTTTAACAAATGGAAAACCCTACTTCGTTCTTGGATAGTAAAACTCAACATAATAAAGATGTCAGTTCTCGCTAGTTAATTTATTAATGTAACAAAAATACTAATAAGCTTTTCTTTGAAGCTAGATAAGTTGAAACTAAAGTTCATATGGAAAAATAAACATGTAAGAATCATTAAGAAAACTCTGAAGAAAAAAGGCTATGAAAGAAGTCTATTAAAACACTATAAACTCTCTCTAATTAAAACAATGTTGTATTGGAGCACGACTAGAGAAACAAGGCCAGTGGACTAGAATAGAAAGTCCAGAAATAGATCCAAGTACACCTGGTAACTTACATACACAGGCAGCACCTCAAATCAGTGGAGCAAGGGCAACCTTTTTAATAAGTGGTGTTGGGGCAATTGAACAGCCACTTAGGAAAAGATACAAATTGGATCCTACCTCGTACTATACACCAAAATAAACTCTAAATGGATCATAGAACTAAATATAAAAAATAAAACCACACAAGTAATAAAAGAAAACATGAGGGGCTGGCCCCGTGGCGTAGAGGTTAAGTGCGCACGCTCCGCTGCTGGCGACCCCAGTTCGGATCCCAGGCGCACACCGACGCACTGCTTGTCAGGCCATGCTGTGGCGGTGTCCCACATAAAGTGGAGGAAGATGGGCACGGATGTTAGCTCAGGGCCAGTCTTCCTCAGCAAAAAGAGGAGGATTGGCATGGATGTTAGCTCAGGGCTGATCTTC